GTCAGTCTCCAAGAGCCTTAGTAACACAGGTAGAAACCTTTGTCCATGATCTCTGATCCAGGCTATATACCACAATTTAAAAGAACAGAACACATATAATGTGAGACATAGAAGACACAAAACATATGCAGTAGCTGAATCATTTAAAGCATCTGTAGCAATAAAAAGGTTAGCTTACGGCACAAAATAAAGCATGTGTTGGACCGCTGAAAATGTAAATGTTGCTCTCTTATTTACAAACAAAAATCATATTTACAGTATGGATCCTCTGCAACAAACACACAGAGCAGGGAAGATGTGCTGATTGGTGTTCTATACAATTAATCCCATATGGGGAATTAACTTTCAAATACTAATGATGTGACTTTTTGTCTCAGTTATAAAAATACTGAGCTCATCATGCAAACAATGCAACACATTTACACTATCCCACTCTCGTAGAAAGTGTAGTGGGCTTATGGTATTAAAGTAACAATCATACCAGGCACACAGATCCCATGTGAAATAACTTGCAATAAAACAGAGTAATAAACTTATACTTCTATGCAACAGAAAGAATAAAACAAAAGATTTAAGTAGGTACAACCTGCGAGTCAGTTCTTTTCTAATATACAGTACTGGTATCTTATGTATATATATTGGTCACTCAGGACCTGAACTCACATTTCCCATACTGCTGACTCAGGGTGGACACACTACTAACTTACCAAAGTGTGTCCCCAATATAGACAATCACCCAATTGATGGAGAATCATTGTTTGCAATAAAGACATGGACACTACAAATGTGCTTTAACAAGATTCTCAGTGAGTATATTTTCAGGGTTAGCATATAAAGCAAAAAGAGTTTAACTATTTCATATCCTTACAGTCAGCACTAATGATTATAAACCTTATTTAAGCATAAAATACATATGAACAAGAAAAGTTAACTACTTCATATTCTTGCATGGTAATTTCCCATTCCTAGGACAAATCTTTCAAACACTTATTCACACTCACAACCAGACTTAACTAATGACAATTAGAGGGTGGACAAGGTGAACCTGAAACTCTGTGCACACTATCATAGTATATTCACTTATATACTAAATTCTCTGTCTATATCACTTTATAGACTTTATCTGTCTAATTCTCTTATTAGACCTTCTCTAGTTCACTTACTAGAAATACATATATCTCTCTGTCTAGTTCCCTTACTAGACTAATTTAACGGGACCTTATGTAAAACTGAGTCACATAAAACACATATACTAAATAACCTTTCCCAAAATGATGTAGACTTACAAAACCATGGGGATCATAGATTCAGGGCGTCAAGATAGACACAAGGAATTACTACTCACCCAAAATGGTTTTGACTACAATCCCACTTCTATCACCAAGCTGAAAGGTAAATCTGCTAATCTGGTGACTCGGTCCCTCTGGTCACTATTCTCCAACCCTCGATTGTCAGCTGAATATTCAGGGAAGATTTTTATGGAAGCGTATTAACCAGACACACACTCTTTGCTTTCCATAATCTTCTGACAATGTATTCAAAATGCTCTGTACTTATACAATATTTGTCACGAATATTGGTTACAAAAAGGTTACAAAAAGGTTACACAAGATCCATAAAACAGGAAGTAGTTTCTGCTGTTACATTCAATAATCTAATCTTACAAAATATTACATATACATTGTGGTTAGGCATTTCCTGATACATAGAAACTGTCATAGCTTGTGACTTCCTTTCAGTTATGTTTTGCAAGTAGTTCTGAAAAGAGCTTGCTACTACATATACAAAATAATTCAATTTATACAATACTGACAGATTAATTGTTTAACCCCTTAAGGACCAAATTTCTGGAATAAAAGGGAATCATGACATGTCATGTGTCCTTAAGGGGTCAATATTCCTTCAGTTCTGTCCTGGGAGAAGCACTCAGACAGGTTCAGTAACACTTGCAATCTATCTGAAGTGGTAAAATGTGTTAATTGCTTATCCTGAAACACCTGAGGGAGAAGGAATCTAATACAAATCCAAAAGCAGTATGTTTCTCTTATCTACTTTATTTAAAAACTGAAAATAGAAATTTCACAGATCATTTGTATTATTAAATCTACCAAGACCGTGTATAAACCTGCATACAGAATATATTAACCCCTTCATGACGGAGTCAATAGTGCACGTTCTGATCAAAACAAAACGTAAACAAAAACTGGAATTTGCGCTATATGTCTGTTCAACCGCAATTCACAGCTGTCACATTAAGTGCACGCACACTTATTTTATATAATTTTGTTCAGAAGAAACAGGGCTTTCATTTATCATTAACTATTCATATATGGAACATAATTTATTTTGAATAAAATTTTAAAAAAATTTGAGAAAATAAGATTTTTTTTTTATATTTGTTTTTCCGTCTGACATTTTAGCTGTGAATGTCATAATACTGTTAGGTTTTACTGCAAAAAAATGCACGTATTTGTAATCAGCGATGTCTCACGAGTAGTGTTGTCCCGAATCTGCTCAATAACGGGTTCTAACTGCTCACACGGTACAACAGTTGTATTGGTGGAGGTAGTGATAAACTTGGGTTGGTTCCTCATGGTCAGCTATCAAGGGATTCTGTCAGCAGACACATTCCAGCCAATTAGCAGCAGACCCTCCCTCCCAGACCCGCCCACCTCCTGGACAGCATCCATTTTGAAGCTGCATTCTTAGTGAGCTGTCCAGGAGGTGGGAAGGTCTGGGAGGGAGGGTCTGCTGCTAATTGGCTGGAATGTGTCTGCTGACTGGAGTCCGTGGTGAACCATTCGCGGCGAACCGTTCGGGACATCACTACTCACGAGTACAACAGTACCCCCCATTAACAGGTTGTATGGTGTTTTGGAAAGTTACAGGGTCAAATATAGAACGTTCCATTTTCAAATTGAAATTTGCCAGATTAGTAATGTTACCTTTGAGACGGTGTGGTAGCCCAGGAATGAGGATTACCCCCCATAATGGGATACCATTTGAAAAAGTAGACAACCCAAGGTATTGAAAGTGGGGTATGTTTAGTCTTTTTTAGTAGCCACTTAGTCACAAACACTGGCCAAAGTTAGCGTTCATATTTGTTTTTGTGTGAAAAAACGCAAAAAACTAATATTTGGCCAGTGTATGTGACTAAGTGGCTACTAAGAAAGACTGGACATACCCCACTCGCAATATCTTGGGTTGTCTACTTTTGCAAATGGTATGCCATCATGGGGGTAATTCTCATTCCTTGGCTACCATACGCTCTCAAAGGCAACATAACCAATCTGGCAAATTTCAATGTCAAAAAAATGAAATGCAAGCCTTATATGTGACTCTCTAACTTTCCAAAACACCATAAAACCTGTACATGGGGGGTACTGTTATTCTCGAGAGACTTCACTAAACACAAATATTAGTGTTTTAAAACAGTAAAACATATTACAACAATATGGTCCATAAAAGTGCCGTTCGTTAGTAAAAAATGCTAAAGACGTCACTTTTACTTAAAATATCATCGTTGTAATACAATTTACCCGTTTGAAACATTAATATGTGAGTTCAGCGAAGTCTCCCGAGTAAAACAGTACCACCTATGTACATGTTTTTTGGTGTCTTGGGAGTTACAGGGTCAAATATAGTGCTTGCGAATTAAATTCTCTGCACTTTCTCCCTGTGTTGTCAGGCATGTCAATCAAATTTTAATTAATCAAATCACATAATTATGTTAAAAGATTACTTAAATATACACGTAGAATTTTAATATATATGCATTTATAAGTATTTAAATTCTACGTGTATACTAATGTAATCTTTTATGTAATTATATGTATTTATCTATATATATATATTTGTGGTTATTTGTATTTTATATATAGATAGATATATATACAATGTCATTCTAAATTTATTTTGTTACCTATATATATATATATATTAGTAACAAAATACAGTTAGAATGAAATTACATATGAATATATAATTTATATAAAATTTTGTTTCAATATTTTATTTATTAATTTTATTATTTTATTTATTTTTGTAATTATATATATATATATATATATATATATATATATATAATATATGTGTATATATCTGTACCCCATATGTACTTATATTAATATTAAAATACACTTTGTATGACGTTACATATATATAATATGTATATATATTATATACATAATATATATACATATATTATATGTTTATAAATATATTTATTTTATTTTATAACATGTTTAATTCTTTTTTTTTTTTTTACACTTTCCACCAGCAGGGGGACTGTCTGACATTTCAGACAGTCCCCCTACTGGCAGATTCACAGCCATCTATAGGGGGCCATGTGATCGCTCTTTGAGACAAGCAGCTCCGCCGGTCCTCTCGCGGGATTCTGAGCGTTGCCGCGGCAATGCTCAGATCTCGCGAGAGTGAACTCTAACCTGCAGGTTAGAGTTCACTCTCACCACTGGACCACCAGGGAAGGCAGCATGGCTCCCCACCCCCAAGGCAGAACGGATCTCCTCCTCCCCTCCACCCCCTCCCAGGATAAAGGTAAGAAGGGGGGGGGGAATAATTTTTTTAAAAATTTTTTATTAGTACCCCCCAGACACAGCACCCCCCAGACACAGCCCCCCAGACACAGCACCCCCAGACACACACAGCACCCCCTAGACACCACCCCCAGACACAGCCCCCAGACACACACCCCCCCAGACACAGCCCCCAGACACAGCACCCCCCCAGACACACACAGCACCCCCAGACACACAGCCCCCAGACACACACAGCGCACCCAGACACACACAGCGCACCCAGACACACACAGCGCACCCAGACACACACAGCGCACCCAGACACACACAGCGCACCCAGACACACACAGCGCACCCAGACACACACAGCGCACCCAGACACACACAGCGCACCCAGACACACACACAGCAACCCCAGACACACAGCATCAGACACACACAGCACCCCCAGACACACACACAGTGCACCCAGACACCCACACAGTGCACCCAGACACACACACACCACACCCAGACACACACAGCACCCAGACACACACTGCACCCAGACACACACTGCACCCACATACACACACAGCACCCCAGACACACACTGCACCCAGACACACACACAGCACCCCCAGACACACAGCACCCAGACTCACACAGCACCCCAGACACACACAGCACCCCCCCAGACACAGCACCACCCAGACACACACAGCACCACCCAGACACACACTGCGCCCCAGACACACACAGCACACAGAATGTGACAGCAGATAAAAACACCCTCACACACAGCACCCCTCTTACATACACACACTGCGCCCCTCACACATACAATAAGTCCAAATATATATATATATACATACACACACACACACACACACACACACACACACACACACACACTACAGCACCCCTCACACTGCACCACTACACACATTACGCTCCAGATACACACCCTTACCCTATAGGCACTCTTAATCCTCTACACACACACACACACACACACACACTGGGTCATTTACACAGTAGATCTCCTACACACACACACTACATTCCTTGTCAGCAAACACATACAACATTCTCTAAACACACCCTCTCTGCAACCCTTACACACACTACGTCACCTATACACACACACTTCAGCCCGTATGCACACACTCGCTGCATCCCCTATAAAACTATGCCTCCTATACACACACTCTCTACAGCCCCTAGCCACACATATTACACCACAAACACAAATTAAATTGACCTATTTATACAATACCACACCACACTCTACACACACGCAATCCCACAAGCAGGCTCCAAACATATGCACCATGCACTTTCCTGACCCTTTTGTCCTCTGGTATCCCACTTGTGGAGACACCAGAGACAATTTAAAAGCAAACACAGCGCAAGCATGTTATTAAATTTGCTTGCGCTGCGCAGAACAAATTCAGGGCCTTTTTCTAATGCCAGAGCTCTTCAGCAGGGCTCTGGGCATTGAACCAACATGTTCACTTTGAGAGGGGGCGTATTGTCATTAGTGATGACAAAAAACACACTCTCTGGCCCCGCCCCCTTCTTAGGGGGCCGCTCTGATTGAAAAATGCCTGGGCCTAATTTTTTTCCCAGTCCGGCCCTGATAGAGCCTATAGAGGGTACCTATACTGAGGCCGTGTCCTCATTGTAACTCATACAGAGAGCATATAGTGG